TTGCACGGAGCAACTTGCACGGAGCAACTTGCACGGAGCAACTTGCGCAGAGCAACTTGCACGGAGCAACTTGCACGGAGCAACTTGCACGGAGCAACTTGCACGGAGCAACTTGCACGGAGCAACTTGCACGGAGCAACTTGCACGGAGCAACTTGCGCAGAGCAACTTGCACGGAGCAACTTGCACGGAGCAACTTGCACGGAGCAACTTGCGCAGAGCAACTTGCACGGAGCAACTTGCACGGAGCAACTTGCACGGAGCAACTTGCGCAGAGCAACTTGCACGGAGCAACTTGCACGGAGCAACTTGCACGGAGCAACTTGCACGGAAGAAGCAAACTTGCTCGGAGGCAACTTTTGGCACGGAGCAACTTGCATCGGATATAACTTTGCACGGAAGCTGCTGCATAATGCTCGGAGCAACTTGCACGGAGCAACTTGCACGGAGCAACTTGCACGGAGCAACTTGCGCAGAGCAACTTGCACGGAGCAACTTGCACGGAGCAACTTGCACGGAGCAACTTGCACGGAGCAACTTGCACGGAGCAACTTGCACGGAGCAACTTGCACGGAGCAACTTGCACGGAGCAACTTGCACGGAGCAACTTGCACGGAGCACCTTGCACGGAGCAACTTGCACGGAGCAACTTGCACGGAGCAACTTGCACGGAGCAACTTGCACGGAGCAACTTGCACGGAGCAACTTGCACGGAGCAACTTGCACGGAGCAACTTGCACGGAGCAACTTGCACGGAGCAACTTGCACGGAGCAACTTGCACGGAGCAACTTGCACGGAGCAACTTGCACGGAGCAACTTGCGCAGAATGGTCACGGGGCTGTGATGCTTTCGGGGCAACCGTGGTCTAGTTTCTTCTTTCTTTCTCCATCTTTCTCTATCGTTCTCTACCAAACACTGCACCCTGGAAGCTCCAGCCTGAAAATCGCAACTTTGAAACACAAACATAGAGCAGCGCTTGGCTCTCCAGCTCGAAAAGAACTTTTTAGTACAAGAGCTTTCGCGGAAATCCCCCGGCATTGTCGAACGTGGCAAACAGCCTTCGCACACTCAAACGCCTACTCTCGCACAGCGTCGTCTGAACCCACTAGGCTCTGTGCCTTCTCAAGGTGCTCCCTGCGGAAGTCGTAGATCATATGCCCAAGCCTGAGGCAGCTGTACAAAACATGACACAACCGGATTCTCTACATCAATCTATATTCAAAACTCTGAGCTCGCATCTCCTTTGGCCGAATGCCAACCTTGCGAAGACAGGCCCCCAGGAGCATGTCCTGCAAGATGTTAGCTTCGGGCCAATTGAAGTGTCTTTGAAAAGGCAAACAGCTCAGTTTGAATTTGTGAGAGCTGCCTCGATGGCCTCCAACCTGAGTCCCAGCAGCTGCTCCATACCTGCCCGGCAAGCTCTCATTTTCGCAGCGGAGAGTTTGATACCGACCGATTGGCGGTTCCCCAACTTCAAGATAGACCCAATTCGGCGGGCGCGTCGCAAGGTGCGTCAAGGCTGGGGGTCCCGTCCACTGAACTGACACCACGTGCTTTGGCACGATCCGGAAGAAACCCTTTGCGTTTGTTCGCCGCGAACTTGCGGCACATCTCCGCAGGCCAGGCACGGCGGCTTGCAACGCGGCCTCAGCAACAAAACGCCATGAGGACCCCACATGTTTTGATTGAACCCGAATCAGTTTTTTCGTGACGGCTTCCAGGCTTTGTACTGTGCGTTGCAGCAAGATCGTGGCCTATAAGTGTTTGTTTGATGCCACACCGTCACAGCCGGATCTCGAGGAACAAGCTTCTTGGTGCGAGCCCCCGCCCCCCCCCCCCGTAAGAGGGAAGAATTGGGCCTATGTGTCGCCCAAGGCCCTGAACAATAGTTTCCCGGGTTCTCCCTGGGCCAGTTCCAGGATATTAAAATAAATAAATAAATAAATAAAAAAAATAAATAAATAAAACTGTGATTTTTATTTTATCTTTTAAATTTCTGGAGGCCTCCATGTTTTTTAAGTTGTTTAAAATAAAATAAAAATAGATAGTTTCCTGGGTTCTCCCTAGGCCAGTTCCAGGATATTAAAAAAATGTAAAAAATACAATATTATTTTTTTACAAAAAGCAACTCAAATATTGATTTTTTTATATATGTTTTTTTAAATTTCTGGAGGCATCGAAAAATTTTAAAAAAATGAAAAATATAAATAGTTTCCTGGGTTCTCCCTGGGCCAGTTCCAGGATATTTAAAAAAATACAAAAATCAAATAATTTAAAAAAAATCAAATAATTTAAATATTTATATATTTTAAATTTTTTAAATTTCTGGAGGCCTCCAAAAATTTTAAAAAATTAAAAAAATATTATAAATAGTTTCCTGGGCTCTCCCTGGGCCAGTTCCAGGATATTTAAAAAATCAAAAAAACAAATAAATTGAAAAACAAAAATAATTTAAATATTTATATGTTTCAATTTGTTATTTTTTTAAAATTTCTGGAGGCCTCCAAAAACTTTAAAAAAAAAAAATTAAAAAGTCAAATAATTTAAACAATTCAAATAATTTAAATATGTATATTTTTTAATTTCAATCTCTGGAGGCCTCCAACAATTTGAAAAATTTAAAAAATATAAATAGTTTCCTGGGCTCCCCCTGGGCCATTTCCAGGATATTTAAAAAAATCAAATAATTTACAAAATTCAAATAATTTAAACATTTATATTTTTGGTTTTTGTAAATTTCTGGAGGCCTCCAAAAATTTAAAAAAATTAAAAGAATAAATAGTTTCCTGGGTTCTCCCTGGGCCAGTTCCAGGATATTTAAAAAAATACAAATAATTCAAAAAATTCAAATAATTTATATATTTATTTTTTACTTTTTTTTTAAATTTCTGGAGGCCTCGGAAAAAAAAGTTTCCTGGGTTCTCCCTGGGCCAGTTCCAGGATATTTAAAAAAATAAAAAAATCAAATAATTTTAAAAAAAAAAATCAAATAATTTAAATATTTATATTTTTCTTAATTTTTGGAGGCCTCCAGAAACTTAAAAAATTTAAGAAATATAAATATTTAAATTATTTGAGTTTTTGTAAAATTAATTGATTTTTTGTAGTTTTTTTTAAAATTTTTGGAGGCCTCCAGAGACTTCAAAAAATAAAAAAAATACATATTTAAATTAATTGATTTTTTTTTTAAATTAATTGATTTTTTTGAATTGATTGATTTTTTTGAATATCCTGGAACTGGCCCAGGGAGAACCCAGGAAACTATTCATTTTTTATTTTTTTTAAAATTTTTGGAGGCCTCCAGAAAATTAAAAAAAATAAAAAAATAAAATATATAAATTAGTTGAATTTTGTAAATTATTTGACTTTTTAAAATTATTTGAATTTTTCATTTTTTTAAATATCCTGCAACTGGCCCAGGGCGAACCCAGGAAACTATTTTTTTTATTTTTTCTTATTTTTCGGACCCTCCAGAAATTTAAAAAATTGAAAAAATATAAAAATATTTGGATTAATTGAATTTTTTTAATTAATTGATTTTTTAAATTTTTTAAATATCCTGGAACTGGCCCAGGGAGAACCCAGGAAACTATTTATATGTTTTTTATATTTATAAATTATTTGATGTTTTTTGATTTTTTTAAATATCCTGGAATTGGCCCAGAGAGAACCCGGGAAACTTTTTTTGGAGGCCTCCAGATTGTTTTTTTAACTGAATCATTTAAATTATTTGACTTTTTCAATTTTTCAAATATCCTGGAACTGGCCCAGAGAGAACCCGGGAAACTATTTATATTTTTTAAATTTTTTGGAGGCCTCCAGATATTTCAATAAAATTAATAAATATTTAAATTATTTGAATTTCTTATTTCTTTTATTTTTTGATTTTTTAAATATCCCGGAACTGGCCCAGAGAGAACCCGGGAAACTATTTTCTGTGTTTTTTTAATGGAGGCCTCCAGAAATTGAAATTTAAAAATATAAATATTTAAGTTATTTGAATTGTTTAAATTATTTGATTTTTTCATTTTTTCAAATATCCTGGAACTGGCCCAGAGAGAACCCGGGAAACTATTTATATCTTTCAATTTAAAATTTTTGGAGGCCTCCAGAAATTCAAAAAAATAATAATAATAATATTTGAAAGAATTGAAATATTTATTGCTTCGCATTTTTTGACTTTTTTAAATATCCCGGAACTGGCCCAGAGAGAACCCGGGAAACTATGTATATTGTGTAGTTTTTATTATTATTTTTTAATATTTTTGGAGGCCTCCAGCAATTCTAAAAAAATAATATAAATATTTAAATTATTTGTTTTTTTTAGTATCCTGGAGCTGGCCCAGAGAGAACCCGGGAAACTATTTTTTATTTTTCATTTTTTTGGAGGCCTCCAGAAATTAAAAGAATATATATTAAATATAAAGACTTGTTATCTTTTTAATTATTCAAATTATTCATGTTTTCCAACTTTTTCCAATATCCTGGAACTGGCCCAGGGAGAACCCGGGATATTACTCAAAAACAAAAAATGGAGGCCTCCAGAAAGTTAAGAAATTTTAATAAATGAATGTTTATTGTTTTGCTTGATATTTTTTCAAACTTGCTGAATATCCGGGAACTGGCCAGGGAAAACTTTTTTTAGACGCCCCTACAAATTTAAGAACAAATAACTACAAAAACAAACTCTATATCTTTTAAATATCCGGGAACTGGCCAGGGAGAACCCTGGAATTTAATTATTGTTTTTGTACAAAAAAGGCAGGCCTCCAGAAATTTAAAAATTAGAAGATAAATAATTTTAGATTATTTGACATGTTTAAAGCATTTTTTAAATATCCTGGAACTGGCCCAGGGAGAACCCTGAATTCTTGGTTGGTTTTTGGAGGCCTCCAGAAATTAAAAAAAATGCTTCAATTATCTGATTTTTTAGGTTGTTTAAACAGAATGGAACTGGCCCAGGGAGAACCCAGGAAACTATTTATTTTTTCAAATTTTTAAAATTTTTGGAGGCCTCCAGAAATTTCAATAAAATTAAAAAATATAAATAGTTAAATTATTTGAATTGTTTAAATTATTTGGATTTTTTAGTTTTTTAAATATCCTGGAACTGGCCCAGGGAGAACCCAGGAAACTATTTGTTTGTTTTTAATTTTTCCTATTTTTGGAGGCCTCCAGAAATTAAAAAAAATTAAAAAAAATATAAATATTTAAATTATTTGATTTTTTTTAATTATTTTTTTTATTTTTTTAAATATCCTGGAACTGGCCCAGGGGGAGCCCAGGAAACTATTTATATTTTTTAATGTTTTTAAATTTTTGGAGGCCTCCAGAAATTTTAAAAAAATAATATATATATATTTAAATTAGTTGAATTTTTAAATTATTTGATTTTTTTAAATTATTTGATTTTTTTAAATTCTTAAATATCCTGCAACTGGCCCAGGGAGAACCCAGGAAACTATTATATGTTTTTAATTTTTTAAATTTTTAGCCTCAAAAAATTAAAAAAATATAAATACTTAAGTTATTTGATTTTGCAAATTATTTGATTTTTTTAAATTTTTTAAATATCCTGGAACTGGCCCAGGGAGAACCCAGGAAACTATTTATATTTTATATTTGTTTTAAATTTTATATTTTTTAAATATCCTGGAATTGGCCCAGAGAGAACCCGGGAAACTTTTTTTGGAGGCCTCCAGATTGTTTTTTTAACTGAATCATTTAAATTATTTGACTTTTTTAATTTTTCAAATATCCTGGAACTGGCCCAGAGAGAACCCGGGAAACTATTTATATTTTTTAAATTTTTTGGAGGCCTCCAGATATTTCAATAAAATTAAAAATATAAATATTTAAATTATTTGAATTTCTTATTTCTTTTATTTTTTGATTTTTTAAATATCCCGGAACTGGCCCAGAGAGAACCCGGGAAACTATTTTCTGTGTTTTTTTAATGGAGGCCTCCAGAAATTGAAATTTAAAAATATAAATATTTAAGTTATTTGAATTGTTTAAATTATTTGATTTTTTCATTTTTTCAAATATCCTGGAACTGGCGCAGAGAGAACCCGGGAAACTATTTATATTTTTTAATTTAAAATTTTTGGAGGCCTCCAGAAATTCAAAAAATAATAATAATAATAATATTTGAAAGAATTGAAATATTTATTGTTTTGCTTTTTTTGACTTTTTTAAATATCCCGGAACTGGCCCAGAGAGAACCCGGGAAACTATGTATATTGTGTAGTTTTTATTATTATTTTTTAATATTTTTGGAGGCCTCCAGAAATTATAAAAAATAATATAAATATTTAAATTATTAGTTTTTTTTAATATCCTGGAGCTGGCCCAGAGAGAACCCGGGAAACTATTTTTATTTTTCATTTTTTTGGAGGCCTCCAGAAATTAAAAGAATATATATTAAATATAAAGACTTATTATCTTTTTAATTATTCAAATTATTCATGTTTTCCAACTTTTTCCAATATCCTGGAACTGGCCCAGGGAGAACCCGGGATATTACTCAAAAACAAAAAATGGAGGCCTCCAGAAAGTTAAGAAATTTTAATAAATGAATGTTTATTGTTTTGCTTGTTATTTTTCAATCTTGCTGAATATCCGGGAACTGGCCAGGGGAAACTTT